CTACAGTGAGCTACAATGACACCACGGTGCTCTATCCAGAGTGACAGAGTAAGACTCTGTCTCCAAAAAAAAAAAATTACATGGCTTCATGGCTTATTTTTTAAAATTCACCTTTATTAAGCAACTACTTTTCATTGAAACACAGTATTTTCCTAATATATACCAGGCACTGTTCTAGGTACTAATACTATAATACTAGTGCACCACTAACAATTATTGAGCGTCTTCTATTTTTCATGTGTTACAACACTTAATCTTCATGATAACCCTCAAAGATAGGCATTTTTATTCTTATTTTATAGATGAGAAAATTGAGACTCAGAGTGATAAGTAAATGTCTAAAGTTAAAAGTATATAGTGGAGCCAGACACCTGGGCCTGTTTACTGCAGAGCCCTAGATCATTCTCCTTTACTGAGAAACAGAAAGACACAATCTCAGCTCTCCAGAAGCTAATCTGAAGACACTGTCAGTGTAGGCTGGTAGAGCTAATAATTTACATATACACATTATAAATTTTGTCTCATTTAATCCCCATAGTAACCCTGATCAAATGGTGTTAGCGGTGGAATAATATAGATGGTATTATTGATGTTACTAGATACATGCTTGATTATCTGCAATTCGAAGCAGAATGATACTATAGACAGACAAAATGCTATGAGAATCCAGGCCGGGCGCGGTGGCTCACGCCTGTAATCCTAGCACTCTGGGAGGCCGAGGCAAGCAGATCGTTTGAGCTCAGGAGTTCAAGACCATCCTGAGCAAGAGCAAGACCCCGTCTCTACTAAAAATAGAAAGAAATTAATTGGACAACTAAAAATATATAGAAAAAATTAGCCGGGCATGGCAGCACATGCCTGTAGTCCCAGCTACTCGGAAGGCTGAAGCAGAAGGATCGCTTGAGCCCAGGAGTTTGAGGTTGCTGTGAGCTAGGCTGATACCATGGCACTCTAGCCTGGGCAACAGAGTGAGACTCTGTCTCAAAAAGAAAAAAAAAAAAAACGCTATGAGAATCCAAAGGGAGAGGGGAGAATACTTCATTGGGGTTTGGGAGAGCTTAGTTCAGACATTGGGAAAGATATTATTTGACCTGGGCCTTGAAAAATAAGAATAGCATCTGTATAGATTTAATGTTATCACCAGTTGACAGAGGAAGGTCTATCTAAGAAGAATAACTTGGTCCCATAGCCAGTTAGCTGAGCAGGGATTGTAATTTGATCTGCCTTACTGTTCACCCAGGACCTTGACCCTTGTCTAGAATAGCACATCAGGAAGGACTCATTGGCCTTTTAACATTTCTTTGTGAACAAAGCTAAGTCCCTGATTCTGTTGGACTCCTGAAACAAAGTATGTGAGATTGAAGGGAAGAGAAAAATCACAGATCAGATCAGCCACTCCTTAAGAGTCAAAGAATCCTGATCCTGCCATGACCTCAGTTTCCTTGTCTGTAAAGTGATGTATAGTCCAGTGTTCCTCAAACATTTGCAGGCATCTGAATCACCTGGAGGGCTTGCTAAAACAAAATTGCTGGATCCCACCCCCAGAGTTGCTGATTCAGTAGATCTGGGATGGTACCTGGGAATTTGTATCTAAGAAGTTTGAAGGTGATATTGATGCTGCTAAACTTTGAGGACCGTTGGTCTCTTCTCTAAGAGTTCCTTTCCTCTCTAATGTTCTATTTAGAAACTCTACTAATGGCATAGAAATTAGGAGGTCTGAGCCATATAATTCCACCTCCAACTAAATATGCCACTTTAAGCAAGACACTTAACCTTTCTCTGCCTATTTCTTCATCAGTAAAATGGGGTTCATAGCTCCCTGTGGCATAGGATGAATGAGAGAATTCAATCTCCCATTAAACAGAACCCCCCTTTTAAAAGAACACTATATAAATTATCAATTGTGCCTCTCCATGTGTGAGGATTCTGCTTTGACAGAATCCTTGCGTAAACTGTAGTCTATCTTTAAAGTGAAAAATTAATAGAAAATGTCTCTTCCATCTTCTATATAAAGAAAAAGACACTTAGTTTAAGAAGAAGTGTACCATGGAAAATGTAGTTAAAATCCAAATGACCCAAAAGGGACCCCATCCTTTTTTGCAGATAAAAGTTTCCCTCCCATTTAACAAATTAATGTTTTTAAAAGAACATAAATAAAAAAGAATAATAACTTAGAGCTATCTGGGCACCTGAGTCTGTGAGCCCTTTAGGGCCTTGGCACCTAAAGAGAAGGGGAAAAAAGATCCTTGTCTCTGAGGCTTTGAATACTTTCCTTGAGGCATTAGGGAAGCTCTGGGGGCCCTAAGAACTAAAAGGCTGAGATGCCTGGGGCATGAGTCTGTTAGATCCAATAAAGAGCCAGAAAAAAAATGGCTGGTAAGTAATTTTGCTATTTCATTTGGTGCAAAAGAGAAAGCAAAACACCAGAATATTCAATGAGCCAAAGCACAAAATGTGACACGGATGTAAATGCAGGCTGACCCCTTCTTGGGAACATTTCTAAGTCTGAATGAAGCGCTCAGTGCTGAGGCCGATGTACAATAACGTGCATTTTAAACTGTGGTGACCTTTTTGTTTCTCTGATAGGCGAAAATGAAGACGAATTTGAGAATTTCATGCTGCCTCTTACAGTTGCTTTTGAAACAGTATTACAAATATTCAACAACAACTTTAAACAAGAAGATGTAAAGGTAGGTTTTTTTCCAAACATGAGAAAGGATAATTTTGTTCTTTCTAAAGTATCTAGATCCAGAAAAGAGTTTTGCATATCTGTGTGTGTCCTATGCCTCCTCAGACCTGCTTTCCCAATTACATCTGTCTTTGAGTTGCGCTTTTCACTTAAGCACTTCTCTAGTTTCTTATACAAATGGACTTTGAGGTTAGCGAATGGTTCAGGACAGTCAGTTGATGATTAGACGGCACAGATTTGTCTCTTGCCACAGTTACTATCTTTAATTGAACATTTCTCGTGGGTACGCCACTTTAAACATCCCTATTCCCTCATCTACCCCACACTCTGTTTCAACATATCCATATGGAAGAATACACAAACATACACATGCTAAAACACTACATCTCTAAATATTTTTTAAACAAGAATTTATATAAATCAAGACTTTATTAAATGGCTAGGCATATATGTATAAATAGGAACTGGTCTTTGAAGTATTGCATTCTTAAACTGAACAAAGTGATTAGGATAACTGATAGCTAAATAAGGTTTTTATGTGCCTGTGGGAGCCATATTAGGATTGATTTGACAAGTCAGTTCAGCTGTGGCAACAGTCATAATATCTAAGACAACATTATGTTTTATTAGTAAAATCCTTAAGTGTAGCAAGCTGTCTGTGACAAAACAGCCCCATATTTTAAGGTGGGGGATGGGGAGCACACGCTCTGCTAAATAGAAATAGTATCTCCTAAAATTATAATGTATCAAGGCTATATTAAATAGATTGACATGGATTATTATTTTTAAAAGACTGGTAAATATACTCCAGAGAATGCAGGCACCTTTGTTAGTGATGCTCGAGTCAGATGTTTTATTGTTATTTGAAATATGTTGGAGATATTAACCATCTTTTGCAAGCCTTCTCTTCTTTTTACCCCCAAAAATAAATAAATAAGCAAGCAGTAAGAAGACAAATAGAAAAATGGTGGCCTTTGATGATTATTTTTACATAATTGTTCTACCGAAAACTAATTTGCCAAATATTATACCTTTTCATTTAAAATAGGTTTTTTTTAAATGAATATTTATCAGCATGTCATAGTCATAGCATTTTAAAACCAAAAAGGATCTTACAGATTTTCTTTGTGTTTATAGTCTTACTGAAATTCTTCACTAGAGTTTCCACTCAGGTTAGCTATATCTTTGGATGTCTTCCAAGTACTTTTAATGACCAAGAAAATCTTTGTAGCTTTAAGGAGGCTATTGGTGCCTTTTATCAAAAAGAAGCAGTGAAGTTGAAAAATATCATCTTTATAAAATTACATGTTTCATTTGAAGATTTCATTATATTCCAAGCCCGTTTTGATGTAATCCCATCTAGTTTGATAGAAACCATCTTCCTAGAGTCATTTTTAATGGAGTTCCAGTGATGTATCCCTAAACCAGCAAGTTCTTAACGACCCTGGAAAGTGACTGCTTGATTACACTTTAACGGTATTTGCAAATAAAATCACAAGTAATTAAGGGGAAATCTCCAGGCTTTTGAGCAAGTTTGATGCATGATAACTGCCTGATTCAGCTTCATCTAGAGTAATGCTGTGTAGGCAACAGCTACTGAGATCAATAGCAACGTAATGATAGTGGCAGAATTAAGTGAGTAACCTGAGAACTGTGCCGCAGAATGCATGCAGCTGCCACGAACCAAGGCCACACAGTGCACTCGGTGCTTCCGTCCTAAATGTTCATCAAAAGACGCCCTGCAGGAAAATGGAGTTAGATGCTCTTTATTGCTGATCGTGTCTCTTGCCACATTTATCAGGGAAATTGGATTAGCAGTTGGCAGCTGCAGGTAGACAAGATTCTGCAGTGATTAAATATGCAGCTTGGCTGCATTTGTTGTGACAGACCTTTAGTAAATTCTACTGTAAGCACCATCTGTCTAATTTGTATAAAGAAAACTTGGTGCTTTAAGCTACCGATAAAGAACTAAATCTGTTGCTTTATCATAAACAAAACTTTTGCACTAAATGCTTTTAAATGTAATTTATTAGGTTAAGGCTATTTTTCTATCATGATGAATAAATAATACATGCAAAAGTGCTTTCAGGTACTTCATTTTGCAAGTACTAGAGATAAAAACATTTCTGTTTTGTTCTTCAATAAAGTATTTAGTATTCCAATCCACAGGAGGTGATGCTGTTAAAATATCTCTATGAAAATGCCGCAGGACTGCCAAATTCATTTAATTTGCAACCCTTACCAGGATTTTCTAACTCCCTATTTATAGATATTTTTCAAATGCAGATTTCAAGATAAACTTAAATATTAAGGACCTATGTTGCCAAATTGAAATATAGTCATGAGGAAAGGAATGCTGCAAAACTCTTAAATTTATAGCTTTGTTTTCTTACTTAGTCCTAATAAAACTGAAGAGAACATTGAATTTTTGTCTTGGGTTTTTCTCTTCAACATAAAGGGGGAAAAAGAAAGAAAATACTGTGACAAATCCTAGCTTTACATTATCATTTCAAAATATGTGTTTTCCCCCTAAATTGTATCCATGGTAAAATATAGTCCAATATACCCCTTACTCATGCATCATTTTTGATTTGGCCATGACATCATCAGTTTTAAGGAAAATGAATGAAAACTTCTCAGAGGAAGAGGCGTAGTTAAATAGGAACCTGCTATCTTTAGTCCCTTCGTAAAAACTCCACAATGTTAAATTATTTAAAATCCTTGATTTTCAGCATGCGCACATTAAAAGTTTTCGCACTAAGTGCCAAATGTTGCAAACAGCACTTTAACAGAATGATTTTGCTTTGATCCCTGTAGCAGTTCCTGAATAATTTATCACAGGTTATTGCCTTAATTCTGGAGAGGGATAGAGCAATAAAGGCAGATGAAAACACTCCAGTTGAAACACCTTGGGGCCTGCTCATTCCTCCGACACGGCTCTTTTGTTGGAACTATTTAGAGGTTATTAAGATGTGTCTTCAGAATTAAGAGTATGCTGTAAGGATGAAGACAGCCATCTTAATTCTAAAGACAAAGCACAATGACCCTTCACCTTCTTTTTCTTTGTTGTTATTATATAGTAGAATTATGAGGATAATATCATAGCTGCCCCCAGTAGTGCCACTACAGTAAAGGGTCTGTCAGACTTTCCATTAGAAACCCTGTTTTGGGGGTCAGGGTGGAAGGAGCCTCGTTTCAGCTGTTTCCCAGCCCATTCATCTCACACTTGGCACACAAACAACTGTTCACCATGCAGCAGACTGAAGCACTCAGCAGTTTCTCCTTGAACTATCCTAAAAGGAATCCATAGGATTAGATCCCTAGACCTATCCCACTCCCCAAAACAGCCTCACTAAAAATACAGGAGCCTCTTACTCTTCAGATCAATCTAGAATCTAGTGTTGACCAACCGTGGGAGAAAGGCAACTTTTAAAATAAACCTCTTTGTACTATTTTAAATGAGATAGTAAACTGTGGCTCCTCTTCCCCCAAATTTCAATAAGATCACCTCTCACTCTCAAATTATTTAGTAGCCTGGTTTGGTTAACAGTTTTTCTGTGTCGTAACAGAGCTGAGTATGTTTTGGCTAATGAGAGAATACTTTCTCAGTGTTGTTTGTGTGTCTGTGTAGATTATTACAGTACTCACTGCTGCTTTGAGATAAAAGGTATTGTTTGAGCATAAGGAATCTGTTTCTTATTCACATTAACACTGCATTTTTCTATTCAGTTGAATTTATTTAAAATACACAGTTATTATATGCTTCCTCTACTTTGTAGTAACATTTTATAAAATAATACATTGATATAATTTCATAGCCACATTTTACTGCATTAAAAAAAACCATACATTTGAATCAATTAGAGCACTTCTATTAACTTGGTATCTTTTAAGGAAGGAAAAAATTGTGATAAATTAAAAATTAACCTTTTTTGTATAATGAGAATAGTCTAAAATATTTTATTAAAAGCCCTTTGTACTAGGCACAAAAAAAGTAAAACTGATAGTTCCTGTTGGCTAATTTAGAATTGAGTGGTGGGTATCTCATGTGTATGTGGAAGCTTAAGATTATTTGAAGAATAGCCTGAAACTTGTAAGTATATGTAATAAAAATAGAATAAAAGGGCCACTTTAATAGAAAGACTGCAAAGTCAAGTAATCAGAAAAATTGTTCGAAAAAGGCTTCTCAGAAGATGTATTTTGTTCTGGAGTCTATGAGGAATGTGGCAGGCTGAGAAAGAGAGGAACAGGTTCCAGGTGGTGAAAAAAGGCTATATAAAAGGCAAAATGTTGTTTTAAAAAAAAAAAATAGTGGATCATATGAGGGAACTACAAGGAGGATAGCCGGTTATAGAAAAACAAGGACTGGTGAGATTATGAGAGAAAAAGGAGTAAGTCATTTAAAGAAGCAAAAATAGAAATTCAGAGTTTTCAGATTCAGAAATTCAGATAACCATCATTCTATAAACTGTTAGCATAGAAACTGAATATTCTTATAAGCAGCATCTTATAATTATAGGATTATAATTATATTGAGTCACCTTTTAGGTAGAAAGAGTATGGAGAATGAGAAATTCCAGATACTTCTGAGAGTTGAAGTGGTATTTGCTACTTTGAAATATTATTCAGCCATTAAGATGAGAGTCAGAATTCACTGCCTCTTTAATGATAATTTAAACGCTTTCCTAAAGAGGTTTACATTTATTACCAAAGTGTGAGAAAAGAGAAAATCTGGTAAAAAGAAAAGTTCAGAGACCATTTTCTGGCTAGATATTTCCACTGAAACAGTATCTTCAGAAATAACAGTTGTATAATATATCTCAATTATCCCACCTCCTCGTTTTGCAGTTACGTTTATTTGTGCTCTTTGTTCTGACATTCTAGCATCTGTTCATGGGTTTTCTGCGCTCTTCCCAAGCATCATCCTAAGGACAGCTTAATTAAGAGTCTGGAGTACAAGTCAGATCTCTTTTATTCGAGAGTCAAGTGGTTTTTTTCCTCTGAAACTTATGGAACACTTGCTATATATCAGTCTTTTGCTAGGCATTTTCACATAAATTTATTAGACTTATTTCTCACAATGTCTCTATGAAAGAGGCTTTATTAGCCCCTTTTATAGATGAGAAAACCAAGACTGATAAATTGTCTTGCCTTCGGTCTTAACGGTAAATAAAGCAGGGATTCAAATTCAAGTCTTATTATATCAAATGTAGAACTTTTTTCCTTACATCTTTTCCTTGCTTGGGGAATGCAACTGCCATTCTGGGTGTATCACAGTATCAGTAGGTCACCAGGCCAGTTTTATTTTGTCCTAAAGTTATTAAGGATATTCATTAGGAATCTTTAAATGCCAGTACCTTTTTAAGATAGACTCTAAATTGTATAGTGGGACTGATTTCATGAAAGCTGATGTTATTATTAAATAATGTCTAGACCATGTGCATATCTGTTTTGTGAAATTATCAGTCCTGGTCTCTTTATTTTAATTTGGCACTATTCAGAAACAAAGTATATTAAGGATCTAAATGTTTAGCTAAGCTACTGGCGTTATGACTTAGCTCAATTTATAAGAAGCAAAGTAGAGTCGGTCAGCAGATTTGATGGTCTATTTGTTTAAAGAGTCTATGGTATTCTATAGAAAGAGATCTGGACGAGACATTTTAGCTAATGAATCAAAATCAGATATGTGGTCATTATTGCCTGATTATTACTCCATCTGCTCTGTGCTAACGTGAAAATCAATTACTGTGTCTCTTTCCCACTGACAGCGTATGTTGATCGGGCTGGCAAGAGATCTTCGAGGGATTGCCTTTGCACTGAACACAAAGACCAGCTACACCATGCTGTTTGACTGGATGTATCCTTATTACACTGTGACAATACCAGCTCTGTGCACAGAGGGATGCCAGGCCCCTCACTTTCGTTTAATAGTATGGCACAGTAGGGAAGAGGAAACAAAGCTAAATGAACTAATGTGTAATCAGCTAAAAATTACAGCACAGTGGCAGCAGTGCAGATAACTGAGCATAGCATTTGGAGACCCAGCTCAGAGAGGCTACTTTTTTGGTGCCATTAAATATTGACAACTTAAAAATCACTTCCCCCAAATGATTGTTTATGTTAGGGTTGCAGAGATAATCTAGCTAACATCTTTACTCAGGATCAATGAATCCTACCATTTGGCATTTTCGAGAAGATTTGAATCTCTACTTTATCTCAATTAGGAGAGCTGAGAAGGTCATTTTATATCTTTGAGGCCCAACTCATCATGCCACAGTTTTTCATCATTGTGAAAATATTAATGGACATGAAAAAAAGGAAATAAGTAGTCACAATTTGTGTGTGTGTGTGTTTTGGGGTTTTGTTTGTTTGTTTTTGGTTTTTTTGAGACAGAGTCTTGCTCTATTGCCCTAGCTGGAGTGCTGTGAAGTCATCATAACTCACTGCAACTTCAAACTCCTGAGCTCAAGCAATCCTCCTGCCTCAGCCTCCCAAGTAGCTGGGACTACAGGTGCGTGCCACCACAACTGGCTAAATTTTCTATTTTTTGTAGAGAGGGGGTCTTGCTCTTGCTCAGGCTGGTCTTGAACTCCTGACGTCAAGCAATCCTCCTACCTCAGCTTCCCAAAGTGTTAATATTACAGGCATGAGCCACTGTGTCCATCCATGATTTGTGATTTGATATAAGATTTGAATTTACCTTTACCAAGGGTTCATACAAGCAGGGGGGAAAAAACAAAAAACCCACAGAAATGCCTCATGATACAAAAGTAAAAAGAACATGGACTTTGGTGTCAGACCAGGCTTGAAATCCCAGCTCTTCATTTACTGTGTTGTACACCTTGGCAAGTCATTTCACCTCTCTGAGTCTTGGTTTTCTCATCAGAAAACAGAGATAATTGGGTATCATGGCTTATTGTGACCATTAAAATAGATAATACGCTTTGTGTAACGTCTGACACATATCAGTAGTGGTAAATGGTTATTAATATTATTTTTAAAGTATTGCATGAAATCGTCTTTGATCACAAAAGGAAGTGATAATTTATGCAAGTCATATAAATATTATGTAATGGTTTCATGCCTTTTGTACATGAAACCATCGGAGCACATAAGAAAAACTCTGTAGTCTTAAAGCTAATTTACTTTTTATGTTACATAATTTCTCAGTTGCTTTGTTCAAACCTTTCTTATGCAAACGTCCTCTAAATTAAATTGCAAAAGAAACTTCTTAAATTCAGTCTTCAACTACTGTGCCATAGTTGTGGCCAAAAAACATAATTAACAGGGGTTCTATGCATGTTTTGGGGAGAATTCTACACATAAGAATTTTTAAACATTAATTTGAGTACTGACTTATATTTTTAGTTCCTATTAAAATCTGCTTCATCAGATTTATGTGCCCAGAGAAGGGTTAGAGATAAGATTTTTCCATGTCATTTAAGAATCATATTCATGCTTTATATCAGTATATAATGTACATATACAGAGATTATAAATTTTAACACAGGAAGTCTTATAATCCTCTTAACTATGAAAGTTAAACTGGAATTATATATGACCCTTTTATTTCTCTCAACATAAATAGCAGCTCCAAGACTTGAAATTTTCATGTCTTTGAAAAATCAGAAAAATCTCCTTTTGGCACTTAAATATTGATGGGGATCTTGAAACGAAGCTACAACTCTATGCTATCTAGCCATTAACGTTTCATATTTTCCTCTTCAACAATGTTAACCAAGAGTCAAGATCAGAAACCTTCTCCTCAGTGTCAAAGAAGAAATATCTTCCATAATTGATACTGTCCAAAATTTAGAAAAGATATTATAATTTAAGTTTTTAATTGTCTATTTTCTATTTTCTTACTTCTTTTTGGGGGGTACCTATCTGAAATGAAACTTTTGTCCAGCAGATGGCAGAAAATAGCAAATGGAAAATCTTAGGACTTAATGTTTTGTTTTGAACTAGAAACCATTGTCTCCTCCATTTGACCATAGATGCTGAAGTTATTAGGGTCAGGGGCAAAGGACAAAGTGTCAGTTATGCAGGAAGCTGTGTTAGATTGCCAAATGGGGTGGTTTGGTGCTGGCCTTGCTTATAATAATTGAGTTTCAGTAGCAAATCAGCTTCCTTGGGAAAAGGCCAAAGGCTTTTCATAATTGTATTGACAACAAAATGAATATGATAAATGGTGTTCATTCAGTTGAGACAAGATTTATAGTTTTCCTTTGGGCAAGGGATGAAGAGCAAATATTTACAATAATAGTAAAATTTGTTTAAAAGTTATATTATTTGATAATTCAGAAAGCTTTATTAAAATATTTTGAAATACTTTAAGCAGTTTCAGGTGATAAAGTACAGATTGTTTCCAAAATATTCAAGTAATGCAGAAATGAATAAGTATATGATGAAAAAAAAATATGGATATGAAAGTCATTTATTCTTCCTGAAATATTGATATGTCAAACCGTCAGTGATGATTCCCACATTACTGCTGGGGAAAGTTTATTTGCCTTTTATTCACATAAATGTGTGTTCTTTAATATGTTATACAATCTTTAGCATGCAGAAGAAACATCCTGTAAGTGCACATGTCATCTGAAAGTCAAAATGCATTTTATTTATGGCTATTATTTGATAAAATGCTATTTTAGTGGTTAGCTATTTAATTCAAAAACATTTCTATAAACACTGACTGCATTAACTGCTACACAAACTACATTGCTTATCACTGTCCTTCCAAAACTAAGTTGCCTGAAACTACACAGCAACCATTTTGATAAATTGTTTTTACAACTGGAGAATTAAAGGAGGATCACTGATATACTTCTTTGCCCCTATGGTGAGAATGCAACAGTAAGAAAGTACCTTATCTTTTAGTGCAGTTAATCACCTTGTTTAAATTTTCCCAGACCATACTTAAACTGAAGTATGAAAAATCCAGAGGGAAGTTGAAAAAAAATAAATAAATAAAGGAACTTGTGCACCATTATTTCCTCGTACTCAGTCTTTGGATTGTCATAATCTGATATTTGAGCATACTGTTTTGGGTCAAGAAATCAATGCTGTTTATTAATGTGCATAAACTGTTATGTAAGGACAAGGCAAGACAATGAGATACGTAGAAGAGCACAAACTTTGGAATCAGGCAGTCTTAGATTCCAGTCTTAGTTTCACCACTTAACAACCTGTGGATCTTGGGTAAGTTACTTAATGTCTCAGCATCACAGTTTTCTGTTCCATAAAACAAGACTAATAATACCTTTCTCACAGGTGTTATGAGAAGTATTGTGATTACGTAAAGAGTCTAGTACAGTGTCTGGCTTACTCCACCACTGTCGTCAGTTTCTTTCCCTAATATGGAATGAGACAAAGGAATCCCATTTGCTCACTTATTCAACAAACTGGGCTAAAGACTGTGCTGGGTTCATGAGGGATATATTAGGTTATTAAGTATGGAATGTCTGATTTCCTTAAGTACTAAGTTTGACACTTGATATCTCTGACATTTCACTTTGACAGTTCTTTTTTATTATTGTGAAGGTATTTCCTCATTCTTTCAAACACATTTTGGCTTGTGATTTTTCTCTCAAATTTTTTTTCAGAGCAATTTTTGTGACACCATAGATAAGTCAAAAATTCATGTTATTTTTTAATATGAGTTCTATCGTAGAACCAATGCATCACAGACAGCTCGAAATATCAGTGAAGTGTTTGGGAAGGATGTGGCTAATGAATGCATAGTACGTTGACAGTTTGAGAATTTCCATTCTGGTGTTGTTAATCTTGAAAATGAGCCATGTGGGCGACCTAAGACCAAGGTGGATAGTGATGAGCTGAAAGCTGTGGTGGAAGGGAATCCATCTCAACGTACGCGTGAATTAGCAGCAAGGTTTACCATTACTATTCCAACAATATTGGACCATTTGAAACAAAAGAGCAAGGTAAAGAAGCTGGATAGATGGGTACCACATGAATTAAACAAGCATTAGAAATTGTCTTAAAGCTTGCCTTTCTTTGTTGTCACAACATAAAGGCAAACCATTTCTACACTGTATTGTTATGTGTGATGACAAATGGATTCTTTTTGACAATTGCAAGTGTTCGGCATAATGGTTGGATAAAGATTAAGTGCCAAAACACAGTCCAAAATAGAATATTCATCACAAAAAAACTAACGGCGTCTGATAGTCCAGCACTGGTATTATCCACTACAGCTTCATGAAACCCAGTCAGTCCATTACAGCGGATGTCTACTGCAACCAATTGGATGAAATGATGAGAATGCTAGTAGCTATTAAGCAGCAGAGATTGGTCAATAGAGAAAGGCCAATCCTCTTGCAAGACAACTGCTCAACCCCATGTGGCATAAACAGCACTGCTCAAACTGTAAAAGCTGGACTTGGAAACTCTCTGTCATCCACCATATACACCAGATCTTGCACCAACTGACTACCACTTTTTCCAGGCTTTGGACCACTTCTTGCAGGGAAAAATACTCAATTCTCAATAAACTGTGGAAAACGCCTTTCACAATTTCATCTCCACTTGCTCTCCAGGCTTCACTGCTGGCATAAACAAGCTACTGTTAAGACGGCAAAACTGTTGATAGTTTAGGTCCATACTTTGATTAATTGTACTGCTTCTTGTTTGAGATATAATAAACTAAACTTTTGATTTGAAATTGGATATTTCATATTTAATGACCTAATAGATTACTTAGACACAAATCCTAATCCAAACAGAGTCATCTAGATATCTATATAAGTGACTACAATAAAATATAGAAAGTGGTAAGTGCCATAACAAAGATACAAATAGGTCAGTGATTGCATTTAGCTGGGGAATCAGGAAAGGCTCTGGAAAGGTGAAGATGTTGCTGTAGATCTTACCACATAATTAGGATTGGACCATGTAGAAACAGGAAGAAAGACAGGTTTTCAGTTGGCCTAAGCATCAGGTTTACAAAGATAGTAGTGGAGAAGATGTTTTGTTATGGGTAAATTTTTTTCATGGTTGGAAATGGGGGTTGTCTGGGACTTTTGAAAATCAGGCTAAGGAACTTCCATAGGTATTATAAAGCAATTGGTAGTTTTGATTAACTAACAATTTCAAGAAGAAAGTGATTAGCAATATCATGTTGGATAAACTGAAATAGGGAAGAAAATAAACCTGAAAAATCATTGTTTTTTCAGCAAGCATTTTCTGAGTGTCAGTTCTGTGCCAGGCACAAGAAATGCAACATGAATAAAATGATTACTCTTTAGAAGCTCACAATGTAGTGGATATAAAAATAACTAATAAATGATTAAATACCAATGTATTCTAATGAAGATGCATGCAAAAGGCCATATGAACACGTGTGAGGAAGAGATTGGTATTTTTGGCAAAATAGGAAATGCTTCCCAGGAAAAGTGAAAGTTGGCCTAAGCTTTGAAAAATGAATTGGCATTTGCCAGACAGGAGAGAGGAAAAGCTTCCAGCAGCAATCCCTTCATGAACAAAGGTCCAGGTGTTTGCATATTCACGGAGTACCTTTAAAGTAAGCTCTGAACTGGCAAGCTATGTCTGTTCTGGAACCACATCCACAAACCCTTATCTCCTAACACTTTTAACGAAAACTCTGTTTTGTTGCCTTCTGGTAGATTATGATGCTTTCTCTACTGTGAAATCCCAGAGGGAAAGAATTACGTTTTTACTCATTTCTGTTTTCTTGAGGTCCAGCACATAGTAACTACTAATAACTACTGGATTGATGGATGGGTGGGTATTATGAAGAAGGGTAACTTCTTCATTTTTGGCATCTTATAAGGCAATGTCATATCATTAATGCCTTTGATTTTTTCGTTTATGTGATATGGACTTTAGCAATTCCTGTTGAGCAGATCAGGTGAAAGCAGTTAAATCTGTGCCTCTTTCACCTAAGGCCTCCCATTCTCTTCTTCCTATCCATATATACGTAGTCCTCATAAGGCCAGTGGAAAATTAAACTCCTAGATTGGGTTCTGATTCTCACCCTGTAATCTGAGCTTGGCATTCTCACTCTGAAGCCCTTTTAACCTCCCTGCTTAGTAGACCTCTACTCTGCTTTCTAGTAATCACTCATTTTCTCTGTGGCAGTCACCTCTGTCAGAAGCATATTAGAATTGGCACCAGTATCATTCCACACAGAAAAGGGAGCATCTCCTCATATCCCCTGGCCTTACCCATAGTGAATGCAACATGGTCTGAAAATATGACAGTCCTAATGCCTTTAAAGTGCCTTGCAAAGGGGCCTATGTGTGCCTCTGTTATTCTTAGGTTCTGAGATTTGGTTCTTTTAAATTTTCTGATGAGCCTTACAGGTGCTTTACCACTAGTGATCTCTGGGATTATGCTCAGGAGATCTCATGGTAGAAAATTTTCTCACCTGTGCTCTTCCAGCACTCCTCAGAATTTTTGTACTCAAAGCATCCCTATTACATGTCTGCCATCCAGATTTGAGCATGAATTCCCCAAGAATAAAAGGCATATCTTTCTTAACTCTGGATCCCAGCCCCTACTACATAGCACATAGTGTCTACCATCTATCAAAAATAACGGCTTTTCTTCCATAGGAAGAAAAAGTAGCCAAAATCAAGTTAATAATCAAGTTCACTGCTTTTATTTTTTCATTTTCATGCAACTGAAACCTCATTCCCACATATATACTAACTTATCACCCATCCCTCCTTTATTTTCCTTTATAGTGCTTTCTAACATATTGTATATTTATTTTCTGTGTTATTAGAATATAAATTCCATGAGGGCAGGAATTTTATAATGTTTTGTTCACTGGTGTCTCTGGAGAGTCTAAAACAATACTTGTTACACAGTGGGACTTCAGTAAATATGTATTAAGGAAATTGTTTCAATATATACAAATACAGCATTAACATGGCATCTCTAATGGGAAAAAAATGTTGCTTTTGGCATTTTTAGGAGGCATACCACTCTTAAAGCTATCAGGGGCTTATTTTCATTGAACATTATGAACTATTTCCTAAAGCCTCAAAGTGAAATGTACACTTTAAAAAATTAAATAGATCTAATCAAATATGCTATACCTCATTTTTAGGTTGCAAGTTTATAGCAACAAATATTTATTGAAATCTACTTTGTGCCAGGCCCGTGCATACAATAAGTATATAGTACCTGCCCTTAAAAAGTTTATGATAGGAGAGATAGACAAGTGCTATACTAGTGCTAACACAGGATTCCATAGCCATACACAGGAAACACTCCTAACCCCGCAGGGATGGGTGGGGGCAGGTACCTTTGATGACAGAGAAGGCTTCCTGAAATAATTGACAACCTATATTGAAATCTGAGGGACAAATAGAAATTAGCAGGAAGTTGGTAGGGTCTCTGTCCTTTAGAAACTCACTGATGGGTCGGACAGGTAACACAAGCAACCAACTCTAATACACTATGTTATAAGACATACGTTCAAGAATGCTTATTGAACATAGTTGAGGAAAAGATTGATGCCTTTTGACAAAATAGAGAAAACATCCCAGGGGAGGTGAAACTTGAGCTAGGTATTGAAAGACAGGAATGTGTTAGAAGAAGCAGTATATAAAGAAATGGAGATGAGAGGCCTGGCATCAGTGGATTTGCAGGGAGTTATGAATGGCTGAATCATAGACAGAGTAGAAGTGCTAAGAGATGAAGCTGGAAGTAGGCAGGGGCCAGATCTTAAAAGGCCTTGTATAGCATACTAAGGAGTTTGAAATTTATTCTAAGAGCAGAGAAGAAAATTGTGGTGACCTTTCCTTCTCATTATGGAGGGTTCTACCCATACTACACAGAAAAGGAACACCATTAAGTGATTCAGTTCAGCATTTCTATCTGAAACAAAAACACAAGTCCATTGGAAAACATCAAGAGAGACACTTGAGGATTGGGAAAAGAAAAGGAAAGGGAAATGAAGGCAGTGACTCAGAATTTGGGGGCCTTACTCCTATATTTATGTTTCTGTTTAGCAAGGAGGAAATCAGGTGTGAGTTAAAAGGCCAGTGGAGCTTAGAGTTTTCCAAGTCTTTGGCATAGACTTATCAGAAGCATACACTTCTTAGTATTAATGAGCATGTTTGAGAATTTCTCTTTGTGTGTATATTGGACTGTCTTTTAGCCACACTGACCTTGAGTGGATTAATAGTTACCTAAACATTTTCTTCAAGCTAACATCCCAGATGTTCCTTGACACTACAGTGGGACCAAACAGAGCAAGTTAACAACTTAAAAGAAAAAAAAAAAAGAATGTAATGTTGAAACTGGGAAATAGATATATGGGGTTTATTATTAGTATTTCCTTCTACTTGTTATGTATGTCTGAATTTTCATAATAAAAATATTTTTTCTAAGTAGTATGGTACCCACGAAACTCTGATAATAATAGCTCAAATATGTTGTTATCCTCATTAACTAAATTTACTTTCTTCTCCTACAACATTAAGCATAATTCTTTAAATGTGTTACTTATATGATACTTTAAAAGTGTATCTTTTGTTTATACAGTATGCCAAGAATAAAGCAATATAATATATGGGATGTGTTACAAATAAGAGCAAATAGCTTACAGACCAAAAAAATGTAAGTATGGCTATGCAGGTTAGGGAGAGAAATTTATAAAATTCCTATTGTATAGAATAGACATAGGACAAATCTGAATTCCCTTAATTCTTTTTAAGTGGCACTAATTTTTAGGAACAATATTTCTTTTGATCCTTAAATTCTTTAACAGACTTTATAAAAGGTACCCGACATACCTTCCCATTCTTCAGAGGGCTATTGAACGGTGGTATGGAGAGCCAGCTTGTACAACTCCCATCTTGAAACTTATGGCAGAACTGATGCAAAACAGGTAAGCAATATGACAGGGAGTGAATTAACAATCTATTATGGGCAGAAGATTTCAAAAGTCAGACTTTCCTTCCTGTGTGTGTATTTGCAAAACTTAACAAGAGCCCAGGAACCAAAACTTAAGGTGATCAGTGAAAACATTAAAATTAGAGACATAAGATTGAGACTTTTTGGGAGAAAGAAGTATACTTAGTTTTATATGGGAACTATGGGAAGTTGAAAATAAATTGGTAGACTACAGCCACCATTATTTAAAATATTCAAAGGCACAAAATGGAGGAAGGGCAGCTATTTTAACTATTTCACAGCTTAGCTGCGATCTATAGAATTTTAAAGCAGAAAAAAAGTTTAGAGGTCTCTGAGTTGAGATGTTTCATTTGATGGAGAAGGAAACAGTCCCAGAGGAATTCAAGGGCGCATAGTTGTCTGCCTCAGGAGCTCTCAGGATTGTCCCTGCTTTCCCTTCCAAGTTATGCTTCCTCCTCTATGCCAGGATGCATGTATTTGGATGATTTATATACTGAAAATTTTCACTGAAATAACAACTACAACACTTTTCAGAAATTGCCTAGTTGACCTTATAATTTGCATAGACCAGCAGAGATTCAAATACTCTGCATATAAATATTAATAAAGATATAGCTAAAAGAAAAAAACCCTGCAATAAGCTAATTGTGTTTACCTCTTTAAAATATGTCATTGCGTCTGTGGCTTAGCACCAGATTACCTGTCACTTAGCCATCCTGTTTCATCAATTCTTCTTTGTAAACTGCATGTTTAGAGGGAGGATATCTAGATAGGGAAAAGGAGTATGGGTTGCAGCTTTAATTTTATCTCTGGTACTGAGTTTTTCACAGCAATAATTTAGAATTTTTACTCTAAAACAAGAGGTGGAAAAAGACTTGGCAAAAAAGAAATGTGAGTATTATTTTGAAAGCTGTTAGTTTTTAAAAAATAGTTCTCATCGGTGCCTTAAATATTTAAAGAAGGGTGGCTTTATATTTTATATTAGAAATTTAGTTTGCTTTTTAATTAAATGCTAATTTTTTCAACCAGATAACTGATATTATATATTATTGATATAACATTTAATACTAAAGGAAAAAACTCATTGCACTGTAAAGGATTTTATGTCTGCCATAGGCAGATAATTCTTATTAGCACAATTGTCTTAAGAACTACCTAGTGAAAATCTGTTACCTGAGAAAATATGTTATCTTTTCTATATTTTTATAGAATCTAATGTGAATTATGTGTATGCATTTCTTTTCTTTAATTAGGACTTTTGTGCCAACAAATGTTCATAACATTTTTATTAATAGTAGGTTATAATTATACTTAATACTAGAGCATTTTGAAAAAGCATGGAAAAGCAAAAATTCATTCTATTCTTGGCAAACAGAACTTTAACAGTGTCTTTGCTTTTTGTTATTTTTTTGCTAATCCTTTTAAAAATATACCATTATTTCTTGAAAGCCAAAGTGATGTTTAAAAGGCAAATAATATGTTGGGATGGCATGTCAGTCTTTTATCCTGTTCATACTGTTTTCCCAGCTGGAACCAGGGAAGTAGAATTGTTCTCAAAGAACTTCTGAAATTTGTTTCTTTTTACCTAAGCTGTATACAGTGGAAACTAATGTAATTTAATGTGTTTGAAATATGAATCAAGTGATTCATTATGTGATTCATATATTAATATATGCAGTGTTAAAGCTACCTGGATTTCCTATCTATCACTTTAGAATTTATCTTAAAAATGTGTATCAGACACTGTAGGAGATATCAAATGTAAATACATATCTCTGTCCAAGTATTTATATGAACTTACACATAAACACCTGGAGTTTATTATTATTATCTACAAACCACTTTGCATAAAACGAGAAAGGGCAAGAAATCTGTGATATATGATGTCAGGATATTGTTTTAACAGATAAAAAAATGAACTCTTCGAATCAGCAAATAAATGAAAATGAGTCTTCTTAATTGTCCTGATATCTTTATAATGAGAAAATTAGCATATATATTTTATCAATAGTTGTTGAATAGAATGACACCTTAAGAGATAATTGTACTGCTGCTACTTGTAATAAATGAAAATGTTGGATATTTTAAACCTATATTTAATTTCTTTATTTGCACATACAGTCTAATTTTTTGCTATATTTCTTAGATCCCAGCGTTTGAATTTTGATGTGTCGTCTCCTAATGGAATTCTTCTCTTCAGAGAAGCTAGTAAAATGGTTTGCACTTATGGTGAGTATTCTTTTCCATATTTGTCTGTGCAATATAGTTTTATCTCTTTAGAGGAAAGAAAGATGTTAGTTATTTTGTTCTTTTGAACTTTCATATCTGTGTGAATTTGTGAAGTGGATAATAAAAGTGCAGAAAGCCAGGTAACTATCACATTGGCATCAAGAGAAGCATAAACAGCATGCCTTTGACTACAAATCATGCCTGACCAACTTGATGAATTTCTTTTGAATAAAATTGCAGTGTCAGTAGGTAAAGGGAATACACTAGATAGAATATTGAAAAGTTACAGCATATTCAGAATTGCTCAAAGTTACATCAAGGAGTTTGCTGTCTTGGGTCAAGGATTGCTTAGACCTATATGTCACAGAATTTGAAAAGAGCAGTGAATATTTTATTACAGGGAACTTTTGGGCACTGTACCCCTAAAAGCAGAGTTCTGTAGTAAAGATTGTCCTATTCAATTACAGCCCAAGAATTTTAGAATTTGGTTAGTAGTTTGTACCTTACAACTATCATAAACCCTAATATTTGCCAATTCTGACAGCTTTGTCAATGGAAATCTCTACTCTCTGAGGCCTTTATGTAGACAGAGAAAGGGGATAGGATGGATAAGAATGCTCTGTAATCTAATTTGGCACACATCGACTGAATCTCAGCAGAGCTAGGCTCTGTGCAATGTACTTCCTCCTGAGAGATGTTTCCCTGTGTCCTCTTTTGTTGTCTTCTTTTTTGTCTGTCCTTTCCCAAATCAACAGCAAACTATAAATACATTTGGTATCAAAAATTGCCTGTGATTCTCGTATTCCTTTTTAAGTTTAAGTACCTAGAAATAGATTTTACAAAATTTTGTAAAGCCTCTTTACTTTAACTGTGTGTGTGTGTGTGTGTATGTGTGTGTGTAGGAACAACCATTAAAAGTATATTAGCTTTTGAAAAGTAAAAGTCTATTTTTAAAAAAAGGACAAAATTCGTGTTTTGAATTATTTTTACTTCAGTTCAAAACATATTCAGTTCAGGCCGGGCGCGGTGGCTCACGCCTGTAATCCTAGCACTCTGGGAGGCCGAGGCGGGCGGATTGTTTGAGCTCAGGAGTTCGAAACCAGCCTGAGCAAGAGCAAGACCCCGTCTCTACTAAAAATAGAAAGAAATTAATCAGACAACTAAAAATTAGCCGGGCATGGTGGCGCATGCTTGTAGTCCCAGCTACTCGGGAGGCTGAGGCAGAAGGATTGCTTGAGCCCAGGAGTTTGAGGTTGCTGTGAGCTAGGCTGACGCCACGGCACTTTAGCCCGGGCAACACAGTGAGACTCTGTCTCAAAAAAAAAAAAAAAAAAAAAAAACATTCAGTTCAAAGCACTATCTGATGTATATACATTGTAGGCCTCCACTTAAAAATGCTTAGTTTTAATTGCACGTTCGATTCGTAGAATTTAAGCTAATTAATGTATGGAAACTACAGAAAACACCTATATAAGACAGTAAACTTGTACACTCTTATTTTCATCTTTACCAATAACTGCATTACCACAACGTTTGCAACTGTTTGAAAACAGACACAATCAAATCATATAAAAATGCTTTGCCTCCTAGAAGTAAAAATGGACCCTTTTTAAAATATTCTAAATACAGTTTGCCATACCTTCAGTGGATATTTAATTCCTGTCAAAGTCTTACCATACTAAGTAAGATATGTCTGTACGTTTTCTAAATACAGAATGATATATTAGAAAAAGCACAATTTAAGGAAATTAAAAGATCTGAGTACTAGGCAGGGGGCTGGGGAAGGGGTGGCTCGAAGGTGGCAAGAGGATGCCCCTGAAACAGCCTAAGAAGCAGGCCAAGGAGATGGATGTGATAAGGCATTCAAGCAGAAACAAAAAGAGGAGCAGAAGAAACTCGAGGAGCTAAAAATAGAAGGCCACAGGGAAGGGCCCCCCTGGCCACAGGTGGAATTAAGAAATCTGGAAAAAAGTAAACTGTTCTTTGTGCCTGAGGGGATGGTGACCCCTGTTTCCACTCCTATGTAAATATCTTTTACCACCTATAGCTGGGTTGTTGTCTTGGAGCCTATTGTACATTTAAGAGTAAACTTTTATAAAAAAATCATGCAGTGGCTCATCATCTCTTTAGATCTTTTCACTCATCCATTCTTACCTTAGCTATGAATTAAAGTACAACCGGCCCAGAATCTGCTCTTTGGTCTTTTTTCTACCCTAAATTCTATATCACCTGGAATTCAACCAACTCATTTGTGGGAGTGGGGGGGACAAAAAACAAAAAAAGATCTAAATACTAATCCTAGTACCAGTGTTTATCAACTCCATGACCTACAGCTAAAATACTATACCTCTTTGTGCCTAGTTTTCTCATGTACAAAATTAGGAATAATAAATACCTACTGCCTACCTGCCTAGTTAGGATTAAGGGGGTTAATTGAGCTACTCTGGGTAAAGGGTCTGACACAAGGGGTAATATGGAATAGGTACTCACTGAATGTGCCTCTCCTTGATCTAAAGCCTTTCTCTTGCACTCACCAAGCCAGCCTTCCTTGGGCAGGGGTTCGCTGACCCACATCTTAGTTTTGTTCAGCAGTGCCCCATGCTTAGACCACACAGTGCTGCTTCCTCTGCCTATAGCCAGTGCTGAGTTTTTATTTTCTCACTTTTTTAAAGAAAATTAACAGTACATATATAAGAATCTCTTAGTAATCAATAGAGCTTTAACTATACAAATATTAGATTGCTGTTACCAGTAACAATTATATCATTCCTACCCCTTTTTCTGGATCATTTCTTTCATTAAATATATTTTTTCCTTTGGGGCTTACTCATTATTGCAGTGGTAAGAGAAGTGAACTTCTCTTCCAGTATCACTGGCTCTCTAGGACAAAATGTATGTCTGGCAAGTGACACTAAAAGGAATCTCATAGAAAAATACCAAACCTATGGGCTTCAAAAATCTCTTCAGTCCCTTCTCAGGTTGTCTGACAGACAAAGGCATAGCATCAAAAGTAGAGGAAAACAACTATGTGAGGATTACATTGGAGGAGGAGGAAGAGAAAGGAAAGGAACGGAGAGGAGAAGAGAGGTGGAAGGCAAAAAAAGACAAAACCTTCAAAGCATTCTTGAGAAGAAAAGCCAGTAAGGAGTTTTCTTACCCTCAAGAAAGACTAAGAGATTAGAGTAAGGCTCTGTTCGTCAATTTAGACTAATAGAATGAGCAGCTTCCATTTTTTTAATCGTCTCTTATGGTCCTGTAGTAGACCATTTATCGTATATTACCCTGTTGAATCCTCAAGATAGGTATTACTGCTTGCCACTCACTAGTTATATGACCTTGGTTAAGTTGTTTAGCCTCTCTTGCTTCAGTTTCTTGTTAAAAAGAGAAAATATTAATAATACCTACCTCATAACATGATTGTGAAGATTCAATTAGGTAATATGTGGAAAGCCCTTTGACCAGTTAGCTACTATGATTCCTGTTGTGAAAAAAATTGAAGCTCATAGAAGTTACAAAATTTGCCATATATGACATGGCTAGCAAGTAGTTGAACTGAAATTTTATTCAAAGTCAGTATGACTTCAGATAATAGTCTTTCCATATTTTTTACTGCCTCTTGGGAGTTGCCACAGGAAGATTGTACCATGGATATTATGATGAAGCACTGTTCTTTAAAGTATGGAGATTCATATCCCAAAACTTATTGGAAATGAAAGGTTCAGTGGAAAAATGTGCTTCAACTGTGTCACCAGTGACTTTGACACATGCATTTTACATAGAATAATAGAAAAATGTCTCTCACCCTCCACTGACTCCCATGCTGGCCCCCTATTGGCCAATCTGATTTATGTATCTTTACCTTCTGTAATGTTTTATTACCCATGCTCTTACCTCTGGAAATTCTTATATGATCATTGAGGGAGATCATGTGGTTGCCATCAGGAGTATGGAAGATGAGGGAAAGAGTGACAAAGAGGACACAAAAGAGCCAGCATTGTTTATTTCTTTGGTAAGCCCAGGTGAAGGAAGGGGAAACCCATGGAGGAAAGATGCCAGAATATTCCATGATCCCTTCTGTTTCCATTCTCACTGGATTTTTTTCTCTGCTCACCTTTCATGGGCAGTTTTTGGGTAGTCAATGACGAGGGCAGTGCAGACAGGAAAGGACTCATTTCCAAATGCACCTGATTTGTTATACATTGCGTGGAATACTTCCACCTCGCTGCTCTATGAGACTGGCAGAAAAATAATACTTTTTATGTGCTGTTTTATTTATCTACATTCTGTCATGATATACTTTGATGTAAGTTTTTAATTTTGCTTCAGCTCTCAGCTGCTCTTGCTGTTACAGCTCAGGGTCAGCATTGAGGTTAGCCACAGTAGCACAAAACAATTTCCTGTTTGTATAGCCCAGGTAACACTTGGATAAGGATTAAATTTTACCACATTTTCTACTAGCCCAAGCCTATTATTTCTAATGAGTTTTAAATTGCTTCAAGAACATGTATTTCAAAACTTAGTGCTATGATCCATTCAGCCTGAGCAACTTAATAAAAGAAATTTCTTTCTTAAATTTTTGGTTAAAATGTTGCATGCAGTGTAATAAATGTTATTACTTTAGAAACCTACTTCTCAGTTTTAAGAAGTGGATGTTTTTTATGCTCAATTTCCGTTTGTCTAATCTTTCCTTTCATTTGCCGCTGGGTCCTGCTATCTTTAGTGACATCTGTTGGTTGAAGAGTGCACAGAAGGGAGAAATAATGATTGTTTTCATAAGACTGACCAAAATGGAACTGCTTTTATTCCTTCCTTAGGTACCTGATTTAAGAAAGCTCAATGCATAAAAACCTAAACTTTAAAAATGGATAGGCCCTTTTGTTACAACAGTGGGCATCTGTTCGTCATCTGTGGTGAATGTATCTTGCTCTTGCTGTGTAAACCTATCTTGCTCCTCAGTAAACTTCATTTCCCTCTTGTCTTGCTTTTGGTGTATCTGGTCA